GAATACCTCGCTTGTTAATTGGTGTAGATATTTCCACAAAAACGTGCATGTCTACTTTAATTGCCATACCATATGCTCTATAAGCAACTATGCTTTCAATTGCTGTTGTGGAAGCACTGGTTTGAATATACTAAACCGCAAGCCAACTAAGCAAGAAGAGCCTGCTAGACAGTCCTCTGTGATGTGCACCTTGCTCTACCCCTTAATATATGTAGATCTGCTTTGACACCTCTGTGCCATAGGCTTTCGTCTGACAGATATCTTAAATTAGCTTTGTGTACTATACAACGGTATCTCTCAGTACCGCTCCACAGGTCTAGATGGCCATATATAAGTATCACTAACCGCCAGCCAGTGGCACAAACAGCTATGTTTCAGCATTTAACTCAGTTTAGGCAGTTGGCCTTTATTTCAGATTCAACATATGCTACTCTTCCTCACTACAAGTCTTTCAAGGTAGCCAGACATGCCTATTGTATATATGTTAACTCCCTACTGACATACTTGTTATCGAGTCTTTTGTGCCTAGCCTGTCATTATTTTTAAAAATGTGCAGATCCATCATGTGTTGTGTTCTTAAACTGCTTGCTAATGCTGTCGCGGCATCGCGAGCCTGTTTGTATTCATATGCACAGCAAAAATAATACAAATAAATAATTTTTTAAAAATTAAATGGTAAAAAGTTAAGTATGCATTTGCTAGTCAAATAATTTGAAATTGCTATTTTAACAATTTGGGCGTCTTGGGCAAATATTGATAACTAAACTCCTGTGGTAGGACACATTGGTCAGTGCTATCAGAAATGCAATCAATGGACTGAATGTATATATGTGGTAAGATGTCAGGAATAAAGTTTTAAAAATATGCAAAAAACACTAGCAATGACTTATTCTTCCCCTCCCATTGGCTTCCTTTGTGTTCTGAGCTCTAACTCTCTGTGAAGTTAGAACTTAAAAAAATGCTTGCCAGGTGATTGGCAGTCTGCATGCAGTCTCTCGCTGGATCTTGTGTGTGCCTTGCAGGTGAATCAGGCACTGTCTTTGGTGTTGGGCAGAATATTATAGTCCCTGTATATTATAGTCCCTGTATATTATAGTCCCTGTGGTGCGAGGCAAGATCTCTCAGGGTGGCCACAAATTCCCTAACAAAGCAGATTAGATGCATCCAGGGTAGAAGGAGCTCCTGTAGTTCCACGTGGTTTCCCCATGGTAGAGTATTTGCTTGCGTTTCACTGCTGCATCGCCTGCGGTCTAAACGAGCTCTGTAATTACGCACCCATCTTGGTTTGCTGCTCACCACGCTACCATAAAAACACAATGGTATGATAATGAAATTATTATTATTATATATGTATTATATATGAGGGGCAAGGTGTACACGTGTCATGTTTATTAGTGGTGGCACAGATCAACCAGGACAACAAGTTACGTTACTTTGTACTCACATTCAAGGCCCCAAGCTTGACACCTACAGAATATCCTCTGCTATTTACTAACGTGAGAATTCAGAGTGAATTCAAGGTGAATTTCAAATCTAAGGCTAGAGTAGCCAAATTGACTTAGTTGACTAAGTTTCCAATTTTGACTATAATTTGCAGTTCCTCCCAAGTATTCCACCTGCATGTCCTGCCCTCAGGGGGCTGGCCTGCTTGATTGGCAGGCAGCCTGGAGTCCTTTGGGTAGCGCCAGTGATGCAATTGTATCACTGGCTCATCCCCTTTACACACCTCCACCCAGTTCTGGGGTTATGAATCCACTCTAAATTCTCACTTTTGTGAATAACCCTGTTCGTATATCTGGAGAGAAAAAAGCTTTTGCAGCCTCGACTAAATATGTTAAAATTCAACAATATCGAGTCAGTTAAAGAGAGGTAGGGACAATTCCTTACCTCTACCTCTTTAAGTGAGAGTGTTTTGTATTTACAATTTTTTAAAAAGTAAAGCTAATCGTTTCTTTAATATATTTTAAATTCAACATCAAAGCCCGACATGAAATAATTGGCCTTTTACTTATTTAATATACTATTAGTATAATATTAAATTTAGCTTTTTAAAGACCCAAAGGCAAATATGTTGACAAGTGTAAATGTTGTACTAAATGGTAAGTCTCATTAACAATGTCCCCGAGTGGTGTGTGTAGAAACTCAAGTGCAGCTGGAGCAGATTCTGAATAGAATTATTCATTGCTATAGCTAAGATACAGTTAGATCGCTAAACAATAAGTGGTAATTGTGTATTGTATGCCGAATGAATACACATATTGTGAGATACTCTACAGAGAAGGGGGAGTGCAAAAATAAATAGGGCCTGAAAATGTCTCTGTTCTAGTGAAAAATAAGTACTTACTTGCTGTGTAAAATCATTATACATGAAAAGGTTTAAAAAGCATTCCAAAATAAAACATTTCTATGATTTATTATGTACAAATAAAGGGATACTACAAGTTCAAACATAATGTTTATGCATTACATATCACGTGATCTAAATGCCACATTTTGTGTTGTTTTTGCAAAAAGAAAAAAGAAAAAAAATGTTTTGTAGCACATCTTATTTTTTTATATTTCATCTTGTTTGTTCCTGTACTTGTGTACAGTACCACAGCCAGGTAAGTCCACATTTAAAAAAAAAATGTGCTGGCTATTTTAGTAGATCTTTGTTAGATCAGGTATGATAAGATTGTTGGTTTAATAGATCTCCCTTAATTAAAGAGATATTATGCCTTTAATGAGCAGGGCTAGCCCACCCACATAAACGTTTGAGGCAAAAACTAGTTCAGGTGGATAGGTCTTTGTTAGGTCAGGTAAGATCAGGTGGTTTCACATAATTACAGAGATATGTCACATAATTACTAATATGTTAGGTATTTCATAATGGGAGGTGAACCCCCTCCCCCATGAAATGTTTAGCCAAAAAAATATTCAGGCTGATAAAATTTTGTCAGAGACTGAGTAGCCAAGAACACTGGCAGAAAGAAAGATCGATAAAGAGGTATAGTAGGTTCAGATGGGAATTACAACAATATGTCCCATTTTCCCATAATACATTTTGGTGTACATGACACATATTGAATACTGCTGAGCTATTATGCTGAAGTATTTTCAATAGTGTCAATGTAAATAAAGTTTTTGCCGACCTCTTTCCCTCTTGAATGCCGAGAAGCACAGCATTTGTGTGTGGTGTTGTTCCTCCACCATTCTATATACTGCTTGGTTGTCCTACCCTTAAAATGCAGGTGGCAACAAATACACACATTACATACATTAAAACCTTTGCCATTCTGGCTGCTGGGTTAGATTTATATTTGCCTTTTGCACTGTACCAAATGGGTTATTAGACGCACTCAGGCTCACATTGGCTCACACTTTCCTGAGATGAAGTCATCTTCAACTATAGGAAGAGAAGATTCTCCTAACTGGGAGGGAGACAGAATACAGCGAGTTCTAACAAGACCTGGAGAGACGAGGCTCTCTCACCTCAAAAGGCACTGACTAGGCTGCTTTCAGAGTCTGGCCTACTGTGGTACCCTAGCTGGATGTCACTATGCCGAAGAATTGGTCCTAGAGAGACCTATTTTTAAATAGTTTAAATATACCTCCAAGCACTATTTAAGGAATGGATGCACTCCGGGAAACTGAAACATACATACACAAACACAGACTGACCCAAAAATACACACGCTCACTGATACACACACTGATCAATATATACAAACATACAGTTATTGACATCCACAGACAATAGCCCATATAGACATACACTGACCTAAACACTAGCCGATAGATACAAACAAACAAACAAACTGATCAATGTGGACACAAACACTGACCCATACACCCACTCACTGACACTCACAATGCCCAATACATACACTCACATACACACACAATGAGCCATACATACCATCACAATGATGACCCAGCTGTTTACTAGCCTAGCTATATCCTTACTACTGACATGCATCACTGTATATGTTTCCAGAACATTACTTTTGAAATGTGAATTATAATATTATATTCTTCATTTCTTAGGGAATGTTTAAATGCAAAATGCTTTTAATTTTTGCACAATTTTACTTGTTATTTTTCATTGCACATTTATGTGTACTGTGAGGAGGATGAAGACCTTACTGGGCCTGATGGCAGGTTACCAGTTAGAGACACCCATTTTTACTCTTAATTTAGGGACAGAGAATTAAGTCAATCTTTCCAAGTATCTTCTTGGCAGCGGGGTCCCTGTCCATCTCCTGAACCATAGGAAGCCATCTTAATCCAGCTATGATTTCCCCCATTTGTATTTTGTATCTTTGGCCATTCTAATTTTAGTGGCTAACAACAAAGTCAACTGATTGTTGTAGGAAAGCTAACTGAAGAGGGTAAGATGCAGTTGGTTAAAAGTTGGGTGCCTGATAGCAACCTGGAGTCATGCAATGTACATACAGCCAAATTAAGGGAAGAGAACAGATATCTGATTGTATTTGATATGTTAGCTATGTTAATCTTGAACTGACCTTTAAAGCACTCTTAATGCTGATTTGGTAAAGAGAATTGATCGTTGATAGCCGGCTTGCAAAAGACCATCATCAAAGTGCAGCTAATAAACATCGCAAGGTCTATAAGGAATAAAACCACAAATGCCAGTGTTGTGACAAAGACCTACTTCAGAGCTTTGTTGTTAACTCGCTATACTAGTCAGCCATATTTTTAACTGCACCCTCGCCAATGTGAGTCCATCGCAGACTTTTTAACAAACTCAATGACCGATTCCATTTCTCCATTAAAGTTTTTCGACCTGACATTTAAGGAGTCAGCATCCTGTTGGTCTCAACTGGAACCTTTTTTTCAGATAAACCGCATTGTTTATGTTAATTTATATTTTTCGATTTACACTTATTTGAATTATGTTGTGCTATGCAATTAATCCTTATTTAAGTAGCCTCATTTTGATTTTGATTTTTGTTCTCCAGGTGCCTAACCTTAAAATAAGACATATGTATTGTTTATACGTGAGAAACTGTGATTTTATTTGTATTTATTTTACAACAATTGTACATCTACACAGTGTGTTTTGATTTTCGAAAATATATTTGCAAAACATCTGTTGAAGCAAAAATAAAAATTGTTTGTGTGCATATACATACCGTCATGCCAGACATCAGAATAAAACATTTTTACATAGTTCAGACGTAGTCAAGTTATTAACAGTGAGTAACACAGATGAAGATACTGGAATTATTGAACAAATTTGGGGTCTGTTGATTAACCAAGAGATTGAGAGCAATTCAAAATTAAATTTGGTATCGTTTGAGTATCGCCCCCTTGTTTTTGCACTAAAAAGCACAATTCTCCTGCAGAGGTGTTCACTAAATCAGTAATTGTGGTAAATTGAGAATGGAAGTGCACCTTGTAGGCCAAAAGAGACAAATTGAATAAAAGCTTGGCTAATTTGCCATTTAGGCTAATTTGGCCTAAAATTTGCTGTTCAGTTTTCATTTCTCCTCAATTCGTCATATAGTGACAACTCAAGTAAAACATGCACAGTGGTGAATAAATATCCCCCACAAACAAAGTTATTCTCTAAACTGTGAATGAAAAAGAATTTACCAAGACATTTTAAATTCAGGCCATAGAAGCTGGATTGGAAAACACTGTCCAAGATGGCCATTTTTTCCAGAACAATTATTTTGACCTGAATATTGCAATTCCCTTACTGATAAAATTCACCATTTATTGACTGTAAAAAGACCCACATTTACAGACATTATCGAAAGTTATATTACTAATCAAACCTACTGGCATATTTTCATATCTCTAATCATTTTAATAATAGGAACAAAAGCCAAAGATTAAAATGGCCATTTAAAAATCGTGATAGTAACATAGAATATTGTAGAGCAGAGGGTTATATACGAAAACAGGAATAGGGTGAATAAATTACAAAAATGACACATTTAAGGCCAAAATATCATCGTGGTGTGAAAGATTCACATGTACACGGTTTTGGCCTTAATTTGCAAATGATTTTTTTTTTTTATTAATTTGCAATTCTTGTTTTTTTAATTAAGATTTTATTCTTTGTTTTTGTAAGCCATAGAGAAGAAGGAGATATAACCCAGTTTTATCAGCAATTCATAATTTCTGTTTTAGTAAATAAGCACATACGAAAACACCATGAAAACGGAAATAAAATGAAAAATAAATGTGATTTTGTCTTTCTTCCTGTCGTTAAGTAATGAATCGGTTTTGGCATTTTGGGAAAATGATACAAAGAATCACAAAAGAACGTAGCCTTGACACATATCCAGTGTTCAGTGGATCAGCGCTGTATGGAAACAATGACAGCTTTGTGTCGTTTCGCTACACACACACCATAGGACATTTTTGCTCAATGCTTATCCACCATATGGGCAGAGACAGAGATAGCAGAATGGCATGTACCGCAAAACCAATACAGAGATTATTATTATAACAAAAACAATCCACAATATGTGCACATTTTAAAAAAAGGTCAGATGAATAACCTACCTATTTAATTACACATATCATTCTCCTGATACCCAGATGTTAAATGAGCTTGTATTTTTGCTGAAGTTCAAGAATCTTTTGTGAAACAAATGTATTTTATTTGAATGACCTTTCAATTTGTTGACAAATTGACATCACTGCGTAATGTGATACATATTGCTAGTCTTCGTTAAAACATATTTATTATGCAGGAGAGTAACCGAGCCACGGTATATAGATCGTATATATGTGTGTATTTACCAATATATATGGATGTTATTGTTGGTGATTAATGGATGGAATGTTTGTGATTGATTGATGGATGGATAGATACATAGACTTAATTGGGGTAAATCCATAACATATCAAATATATCTGGCTTTGTTTTTCTTCATCACTGTCATAAATTTATTTTAATGAAGAAGAGAATCTGATGTAATGTTATCTCATGTCATACAATAAAATAAATTGGCAAAACAAGTTATGCCCTACCACTCCCTGCGGTGTATTTATTCCTGCTGTTAGGTCTGGTAAGACGCACCAATACAGAAAAAAGAAAAATTACTGGTATTTGTGAGCCTTTAGAAGAAAAAAAGACTTTAACCATGCTACGATTAAAGAGATACCCCAAGCACCATGACCACTTCAGTGATTTAAAGGAGTCTTTATGTGCAGCATTTTGCTTTGAAACGCTGCGCATACAGAAATTAACCTCTTAACTGCCAGAGGTTTAACTCTACCACCTGTAGCGTCATTAGTCAGACCAGAACAAAGTTCAGGGATGGCGAATATCAGTTAAGAGCGAAATTGGAGTCTGATGCCAGCACACACAGCATGCTGGAGCCAGATAAACAATTCAGCATACCCCATGCTGCTCCTGTCCTCCCCTCTGTCCATCCTCCCTGACCTCACTCTCCCTTTGGTGAGAAGGAATAACGTCAACCAAGAGGATCAGGTTGCAGGAAGAATGAACAAAGGTAAGTTGAAGTGTTTTGGTTTTTGGGGAGGTGGCGGAGTGGCGGACCTCCTCAGAAAGTGTTTCTCTAACCGAAACCAGTGTTTCATGAAAACACTGTTTTGTTTTGGTTTGATTAGCCCTTTCACGATTCTTGCTATCATAAAATAAAAACAATTATTTACATTTCCAGAAAAGACCCACAAGTGTCAGCCATCTTGTTTTTAGCTATGAATGTCTCCATGGGGACTAAAACAGCGACAACTTTATTCCAATAAATATTTGCTACTCGTGAACAAGTCCTTGGAGCATGACCTCTTCTTGTTTTTCAGTCAGTTTAGTCTATTGTATCAGAGGGCCCCTGCTATCTTCCTACATACTTATTAAACACGCCCAGTGTTATTTACTAAACTGGGAACCGAAAATGTTATTGTATTTTTAACGCAGAATAAAACAAATTGGAAATATTTTCTATTTCATCTCTTTTCCCAGCTCAGCTACATTTGCCCAAAATTTGTGAAACCTTCTTCACTTCCCAATAATTCCCAGTTTCAGCGATTGACTACAAACAGTTAACTCTTGGAGTGCACGTGGGACATATAGATGTACAGTGTAACCCTGTGTTATCCAAAGGGTTAAACACGTTAGGGATTTGGCGACTTCAAAGATGCAGACCGATCTTTCATTGAAGCTGATGAGTCCATTAATGCAGGGATAACAATGTTAATCCATTTACTGCTTCAGGCTTAAAAAGAGGAGAGCAAATAGATTCTTATCGCTAAGTGCTTTAATAAGGAGACAGTATAAGCCTTGCAGAAGATGTTCTCACCCAAGATGACACCCCCTACACATAGTAAAATCCCTCCCCCCCATCCACGTCCCCGTGATCAACCAGATAGTTCACATTAAAAAACCCTTTCAGGATCAGGACCTATGACATCTCAGGACTGTCACAACAGCAAGGGGCTTGTCTAAGCCTGTTCGTGAAGGGGTTAAACAAGATTTTCCCTATTGGCCAAATGAAATGCTCTAATACAACTGAAAGGTTGCTTTTCAACACCTAGCTCACAGGTGACTGTGGGGAACACGTGATGATTAAGATGGTTTTGATAATAAATCAAAATGCAGGAAAATAAAATTGTTTAAAAATGTATATGTTCATCTATATTAAACAGAGAAGGCAGCAGAGCTTACAAAATATTTTTGCTGATAGTAATTAATATATCAATAATAGAAGATGTATAGAAATCAATTGATAATTTTAGATAGGCTTGTAGCATACAATGTGTACAGTGTTAATGAAGACAGTATATACTTAAATTAGACCTGTCATCCATCCTGCATTTATCAACAATATGGCAAATTAGTCTATTTGGCTTTGTGAACCATGATTAGCCCTGTGATGATGGGAGTTGCAATCCCAAACAAGCCGCTTTGGCTTCAACTGTTACTCCAATCCAATAGACGAACAAATCTCACATTCTTTGTTACAGCATGAAGGGTGTGATCCACTAATTCATGCATTGCATTCTGCATACTCCTAATTCTGGATAACTATAACCAGCGTTTATGCACCCATTATCCATACAGAAATTTGTGAGATATTTTACAGTTTGTATATTTTTGAAGGTATGAGCCACCTGCTGTGCAATATGTTTGTACATTCCAGCTGTTTGTTACTGGAAACGACCTTGCTTCAAACACATAACAGTGCATGATCAACGCTATATTGCCCGTTTAAAAAAGGAACAAAAAATAAAATACAGCAACATGGATTATTAATGTGCATTTTGTAGGCAGAAAATAATAAATGTTTGTGAAATATGTCGTCATATCTTCTACAAGTTGCAGTCATACTTAGGCCTTCAAACAGATGTTGGCTGAAGAACACCAAAAGGTATGGTCCCAGTTAGACCTGAATGGAATGTTTTGGTAGCACCATATTGGCATGGTCATGTTTGAGGGGTAGCGGTTGGGGGATAGGGTTTAGGAATTAGAGATAATGGTAAAAGATTTGAAAGTTATGGGATTCAATATAGTTAGAAATTAAGGTTAGGGATTCATGGTTAAGGATTGATATTGGAAGCATTACCTCCCATCAATCAAAACCAAGCCAAAATGGGGGTGACAAAACATTCTAAACATCCCCAGATGGAGAGCCCTGTACTATATGTGTTTTATGATGTAAAATAAATGGCAGTCTTTTTGTGCATATTAATACAGACATTTACTCACATAGATATATATATAAATATACATATTTACATAATACACATGAAACTAAACAGAATTTGGTCCTTATAAGTACTGTACATGTATAAAGACAGTTGCTTTAGACTGAGAAAGTGTATAAAACCAAAACGTCTAGTACCTGTACAATGCTGGCTTGCGTCTCTTTAATTCATATATGGGTCATCCAGTAAAACATCGGCCATATTTATCAATGCAAAACACGAACAGTTCAAGGGTCTAGATGTAAACTTGGAGCAATGCAAAGCATAGCACTTCTCCATATGTTATGTTCACCAGATATTATTGCATTAATAATTACTGTGCCATGTATCTTCAGATAAAGAATGCAGCGCAGTTGCAAGATGGTAGCTTTTATATTGCAGAAAGGGACAGGACCATATCAAAATAAATCTAGAAAAATAAACCATAATTATAAAAATAAAATTATGTACCGTCTGAAGTATACAGCTTCCCTGCTTTAATAGACATGATCCTTTTACAGCAGTGGAAGCAGTTACTGAAATGTTGTTACAAGGAAGAATACATTAGTACATTTAGCTTTGTATTTTTTTGTTGTGTTTCCTGACATTAAAATGTCTTTAACCAATTCATTCGTACTTAGATAGTCAACCTCTGACAGATGAAATTCTGATTTAAAGGGACACTATAAGCACCAAGACCACTTCATGCTGTCCCTTTAACCCTGCAATGTAAACGATTGCCGTTTTTTGAGAAACAGCAATGTTTACATTGTAGGTTTAAGACTGCCTCTAGTTTCACAGAGGTTAACTGTGTGAAACGACGCTGGATTCAATGGTTTCTTATGAGAAAGGCCGAATATGTGCGCGGCACTTGTTGCGCATGCATATTCAGTTCTTAGATCGTGCTGACTTCAGAGGAGCTTTACCCAGTGCTGAGGGATCTCAGGTAAGTAAATAAAAGGGTTTTTAATCCTTTCATGGCTGGGAGGGGACTAGATGGAGACAGGTCCTAACACTATAATGTTCATAGAATCCTGCCAGAACTGAACTTGTAACCTTGAGGATTGATCTTGGCTAGCTACTAAATCACTAACCACTAAGGTATGGTATCTTTACTTATCATTTAGTGCATGCAATGTACTCACCAGCCTTTAAAAATAATGGTGTTATTGTTGTATATGGAGAACAATGCGAATGGCCCATTGGAGTCTATTCACTAAACTGAGAATTGAGAACATTGACACAGAAATTGCAGACTGAAGGCCAAAGAATTTGCACTAAAAAAAAAACATCCACATCACCTATTATTCCAGCTTTGCTATTTTGCCCCAAATGTTTAATTCCCTTTTCAGTTCTTCACAATTCTCTATTTATGAAACAAAGCCCACAATCTCCCATACACAACAACTGAAGCAAAGGTGCTTCAAACAGAAAGGCTGTGAGACAAAATGGAAACTATGCTAAATTAAAGATTCTTTTTTTTCTGCACTTTAATCATAATTAAATCATTAGTTATTGTAGGTTTATCATTGTTCCTACCTCGTGCCAGTAAAGCTTATTGAATTAAAGGACTTTGCCTAATACAGGGCATTCTGGGACTTATAGAGGGACAGTTGTGCTCATTGGTGGACCCACCCTGTCGTCTTTTAAATTCTTGGAGCATGTTTGTAATGAGTAGTTCTGCTTCCCAAGAAATTTTGCAGCAGTCATAAGCTTTACTGCATCTGCATAAGTGTCCTCAGGTTTACCTAACTCATTCATACACCACTCAAACTGGGATAAATTACTTTCCATCAAATGACAGTGGTAATCCCATAACTGTGTACATTTTGTCTTGGAACCAGCAGCTTCAATATATTTGGCAAAACAATTCAGTGCTTGTAATAAAGCTGAACTTTGCTTGTTAAGATCCCTGACTGTTAAACATAAACAGGTATTTAAAAACATCAGTGTTAAATTCAGTAATAAATAACCTCTTACAACCCAAATGCTGGGAACTACCACTCCATTGGCTGAGCAGCGTTGTAGTTAAACTCCATTATCTGTGGAAGTGCTGGAGTTCCTGTATCCATGGATAAAAAGATTATCACGTTCAATTAATAGAATAGGGATCCATGCAATCTGTCTCAAAAAGTCCAATTAAATCTTTAATTTTTATTTTTTTTGCTCAGTGAGGGAAAGAAACGTGTGTAGAGAAAAGTGTATATCAGGAACATACAAATATAAAATAAAATAAAAAATCCCAACAAAACAATTGTTTTAGCAAACTTGATCTGAAGATCCGCCCTGGATTATTTCATTATAAAAACAGATTTGATTACATTTTCTTAGTGTGAAAGTATTTTTTTAAGTAACTGCAGGCTATTGAGACAACAACCGGACAAATTAGATTGGCTTTGCTTTCCACTTAAGCCAGTACTACTTTCTGGCAAGATCGTGGTAGACTGGTTTACCTGATGTCCCCGTTATTACTTTATTACTGACCCTTCTTACAAGTACCTTTGAGACTGGGATTTTTGTTCTGGGCAGTTCACTTTTCACTGGTTGCTGCACAGCTGACGAACCGCTAGTGTCGGCCCCTTGGCTAGGTGGATGGACTGGTAGATGTTTAACGCTAATAGGTATCTTTGAATCCTTAGCAAAACTGGTTTTCGCAGGACATGTGGCAGTTACTGGAGACAATGGTTTGGAACGTGGCAGGCATGGAATTTCCTCGCCCGCATGCGCTCTGGCTGTGTTTTCATCAGGTTCTGTATATAGGTCATACAAAGCGTCTCCGCTACAGCTGTCTCTGAGAAGTGCTTTCTTTGCCACATTCCTTGCTGGGTCTTCCTCAGGTCCTGAAGTAGATGAATCCCAGTAACCCTCATCACTATTCCGAACACACTCTTTCTGTTCCCTACCAGTAATTTTTTGATCACCTTTCTCATTCCGACTCTTTGCCACCTGCTTGAGTTTAGACAGTTTAACTGAATTCCCTTCACATGTGATGTCAATACGGTTTACCTCGCCTGAGGCCTGTAATGGACTGCTTGCTTTCTCCATTTCTCTGCTCTCCTCCTCTGACTGAGGCCCCATTCCCCAAATATCCTGTATGTAGGTATCATCCACTTGATCTGGACTTGCCATCTCCTCTCCTCCTCCTTGATAGGCAACAATGATAGGGGTCTTTTTGATAATAGGTTTCTTGCCATTACCGTGGATATTCCTTGTAACAACGCTGTTCCCTCCTTCGTCATCATGATCGGCAATAATATCACCACATCCTGTAAGAGAGTCAAAGCTTTTCAATGATGTAACATCAGCCAACATCAAACAAATACGGTCAAGAGACGGCTCAGAGGGAGGATCAACAGTAGAAGGGTCGGGGATTGCAATTTCTTGGCCACTATCACACTCAGGTTCAACAAAGGAAATATTGTTTATTGACAGTTCACCTGTTATGTTTTCATCCTCCTTTTCGTTCGGGGCGTCCACCTCTAGACCTGGCAACTGGATAAGGTTCTCCACGTGTTGTCCATCTAAATCACCATTTTCTTGGGGTTTGCTGTCACCACTGTGTAGTGATGAGCAGGGAGATTCCACTCTGTCCTTTTCTCGGTCCTCCCCCACCGATGCATTCACTTCGCCACCGTGTTCCTCACAGAGTGAGTCAACAGCAACATCCTCCTTGGCTTTTACGCTTTCACACAACAATGGTTTTTGTTTTTGTTCCTTAATACATTCTAAACTAGCAGTCAATGATCCAGGCAAAATCAGGCCAGGTGCATTTTCTGTCACCCCTTCCCTGTCGTCTTTGTTGCTTTTCTCTTTTCTGTTCCATCTCATGCTATTAAATAGCCCTTTGAGTCCTTTCTTTTGTCTGCTGACAGGTTTCTGCTCGGTATTCTCTCCCCTCACGGTATCCGACCTGCTGCTCTTTTTCAGCAAATTAAAAAAACTGTGGGACTTTGCCACGCAGCTGTTTGAAGCCACATCTGCCTTTATTGTCACCATCGTTGGATTTACATCAGGGTTCACCTTGTCAGCTTCGGCAGGTGTAGGAGAAACAGCGGCCGCCCCAGCATCCTGCTCCTCTTTCTTGTTGTTGCTCTCCAGCACAACCTCGGCTAGTCCATCCAGGGTCTTGCTCCGTACCATTGCCATTTTGCCTGTGCTTTTACCATCCCCCTTGTTTTTCACACCAAATATAGCTGGCATGGCACTGCCAGATTTCCTCTTCCCAAATAATTTAAAGGCAGTCTTGTTGATTTTCCCAGACGGCTGTTCTGCTGCTTGAGAATCAGCACAATCACAATGCAAGTCCATGTTTGCAGCCTCCCTGATCCTGCCTCCTTCTTCCTGCAGACCCCCGCTGATGCCTGATGCTGATTTTCTCACTAGCAGCTTCTCCGCTGCTCCTGTCCATCTCCATAGCAACCGCAGGGATAAGCCTTTTTCGTCAGCTATGGGCTAGAGCCAATTCCACTGTCATCCATTCTAAATCAATCTGCAAACTGCAACAATATACAGGCTCTCCCCTTTTATAAAAAAAAAAAAGAAAGAAAGAAAAAAAAAGAAAAAAAAAAAGGCTTATGTAACTCGCTCATATTAACCCCGTGTTTACATTTATTATAATAGGTATGACCGCCATCAGCGATAAGTCTGATTTATGTAACAGGCAATATGCTTTTTCCTGAACCAAAACAAAGAAACAAAAGCTGATACATTAAATCTGTGCATATCACAAGTGTTAAATAATACAATAGGGGAGGTTGAGACGTATCGTATTCTGCCTCAACCACTGGAGCATTAACCCCTTAAGGACCAAACTTCTGGAATAAAAGGGAATCATGACATGTCACACATGTCATGTGTCCTTAAGGGGTTAAACAGACAGAGCCTCTGAAGGGTTAAATAAGGTTAGATCACAGTTGATATGTTAATACTCAAGCAGGAAAGCCTATTAACTGCAACAATAACACCTATGATGGAGTGTAGAGTGTTGTCATGATTCCCTGCTATTATTGAATATTGATTCCGCACTCTGATTCAAGTGTCTTACGAATTGTCAAACCATGGGGGGCGGGGGGGAGGACAACATTCTGTAAGTCTCTCTTTTCTGATCAGTTACATGTATAAATCGGCACTGATTATCACAGCTTGAAAATTGTATTTGTAAATAGAAGCACATACATAAAATATAAGTAGGATCACCAACTGCGTTTCCCGAGACAGCTATACGTTCCATAGGCTGTAGGGACATATTTAAATAATGTTGACCAGGATGGGTAAGTAATATATGATTTAAAAGAGGGGGTATGGTAAAAAATCTGGGGGTTTAAAGTAACAGTATATAAACTTAGAAAACTCTTAATTATAACTGGGTTTATGTTGCTATATAACCAGGCCTCCCTTGCAATATAACCATGAATTATTTGTGGTATTACCAGGCCTCCATTTCAATATTCACGGCCTACCTTGCAGTAAAACCAAGTCTCCATGGTAAGAACGTAAGGTCATTTGAGTAGGGCCCTCTGGACTTTCTGTTCCTCTCCGTCCAACTTCTAATGTTGCAATTACTTGTTTGTTTGCTCAAATTTTGTAAAAAGCACTTTGCAATATGTTGGCACATTATAAATATATAACTAGGCATTCACTGCAGTTGTCCTATCATTCTTTTTATCTCCACCTGATATTAGCAATTAGTTCCTTTTGAAGAGGATGGATAAATGGCGCAAACGGTGTTACTAAATGAAATTAAAATTAATAGATAAGGTATGATAAAACAGAAGGGGATAATTTAACAGAGTAGCTGCACAACTGTTATATTATTATTATTATTACCTTAGAAAATTCAAAAACGATAACCAGACCTCAATTGCAGTTGCCATAATAGGATCCACCAGGTATTATCCATTAGCTCTTTTGTGAGTTTTGTAAGTTTTGGTTTTGTAAGTGGTTCTATCTACTAGTAAACAACCATTACACTGAGCAGGATAGATGTCACATAGAATTGAAAAGTAGACAAATCATCCTCATTTTGAATTTTAAACAGGAACAAGCTGTTTGTGGATTTTCTGCCAAAACATAGGCACATCACATACTTGGTGATGTGCATTCCTAAACTGGCACCTACCTCTCTACCCATCACACACTAGTCTGTCACTCAATCCTCTGAGGAATATGGTCTGTGAGAGTAGAGTATGAGGAAACACTGTCTCCTGGGTAGCAGGAGTCTAGCTCGTGGCTCTGATATTTTTTCCTATCTGTAAATGCATGTTATTAGATTCTAAACTTTAACCCAGTTAACCCTTTCAGGCTCTGTGTGTTAATCTTGCTTGCATTTTGCCTTGTCACAACTATTGTGTATTACAGCAGCTCTGTCACCGTCTGGAGGTCTTTACATAATTTGACCACCGATGGTGAATTTTCCGCTGGGTGTCCGGTTGCAGCGGGGTTCAACGAAAGATGAGTCATACTGACCTGAAACGATCCTTCATGGCCGCAGCAATGCTCTTCCTGCCTCTCCTCTTCAGTTCCTAGAACTTCAGGTGCTACAGGCCCATATCAATGTTGAACTCTTGCGCATGTGTGAGAGTACAACACTGGGATCTGTGAAGCATTTCACAAGAACACTAGATCCTCCATAGACAGAGCCTTTTTACCCTGTCACTAGTGAAGGCTTGACAAGGCTTGAAAAAAGGTAGCTCCCCCTTTTTGTCAAGCTTGGCGAACGCAGGACAAATGTGATATTTTGTTTGATATTAATGTAAAGGTTGCTGTATTGAAGAAGCAGAATGGGCTATTGGCAGGGAATCAGATTGCAAAAGCTGTTTGCGTCCAAGGCTGTATGTATTCCATCTTTAATCTATACTGTCTCATGTAGTATTTAAAGGAACACTGTACTGTGTTTGTATAGGTGTTTTAAAATAAGTCACTTGTCTCAAATATATATTGTGTACTGAAAGCAACTTATTTATTAATAAACTTTGTCTCAGATAAATCAGATACCTTTATTCCTAGCCGTCCGCTTCCTTCTAACACGGCATTCTGTTCTGACATCATAAGGTCACCAGACAAGGGTCTAATCCAATGCTTCTCACTTAGAAGCATTGTGGACCCTAGGCTCTCACAGCGATCCACCAATGAAATTCCTCTCATAGAGAATTATTGAATGCTCTGATTGTCTATAAGAAGTTTAGAACGCGACAATACGCATGTCTACGTTGTGAGTTCATGTCAACTCAGCTCACAACTCAGTATTCCCTTAAATTCAGTATTCACACCACACATTACAGGCACTTGTTAAGGACACAGAGGTGCCCATATCTGTCAACATTAGTACGCTAAGTATGCTTTGGTATGAGAGCTGTGAAATGAGAATCCCACCTCTCTGATGCAGAGAGTATGGAGGCGTGGCTTGAAGCCGCTCTTTCAAACATTCCTATGATAGAACTAGACCGTTTGGGGGGAGAGGAAAAGAGGAAGAACATTCTAACTGACAAAAAAAATGGAAGCTGGATGAGAACTGAAGAGGAAATTAAAGACTAGTGGCCGAGAACAACATAGAGAGAACAAAAGAGTACTTTTATTTAAAATTTTACAAAAATATTTATGCAGTTACAAAGTAGTGACGAAAAGGTAACAAATGCACACAAAATATAAGAGGGTAATTTTTAGTACACTGTATCCCTTTAAAGTAGAGTGCCATAGAGAGATAAAAACATACTGGGGCCTGAATTAAAATTTTTGGGATAAGCTTGTGAATTATTTTTTTTTTAGAAAAAATATTTTAAAAAACAAAAAAAATCAAATATAAACATATATAAAAATATATATACAAATTTAGCAAAAAAATATAAATGTATTAAATCATTTAAAAGGCTAATTAAAAAATGAAATATTAAATCGTGGTCTTACCTAACTATATCTATTTTGCCACATACTCAAATTAAATTATACCAGCGCATACAACACTAATTTGCGCACACTGACATACATTCGTTTACATATACTATTATACCATGTTACTCGCACACCATATTACATACACTCATAGTATTTTATTTACACTCTTACATACAAAGTTGATATACTCCTCCTCCAGCTGCTGCTTACCTCTGTTTGCCTTGAGCAGTGCAGGCTGTGGAGACGAAGGTGTTTGATGTTCTTTGCTGCCTTGTTGTCTTGGGAGGTGATCGGGAACGGACACACAGTGACGTGCATGCTCTTTTCTTATTCTTTTGGCTCCTTTCAAGTGGACAGTCAGGGGATCGCCTGCAATGTTTAAAGTCTAAATATGGAATGCCCTTCTTGCAGACTACTAATGGGTAAAATACATGGGTCACAGCCTTCGTCACATCTGTTTTTGCTGTTGATCCAAAAGGTTGAGGGGTTACTTTATAGTAACTCTATGTTACGAAATGGTTTTACACAGGTACCGGGCAGTGCATTAAAGGAACTTTCCAGTGGCAGGAAAACATATCCGTTTTCCTGGCACGGCAGGACCCTCTAGTGCCCCTCTCCCTCCCACCCCCCATCCCAAGTTGCTGAAGAGGTTAAAACCCCTTCAGTAACTTACCGGAGTCCAGCACCGCTGTCCCTCTGCGCTGGGTCAGGCCAACGTCAGCCAGCGGGGGAGAACAAACTCCTATGCGTGGCCGTTGGTGGGGGAGACCTAATGCACATGCGTAGCAATGGTCGTGCATGAATAATGCTTTCAATGCTTTCCTATGGGGATTTCGGCAACGCTGGAGGTCCTCACATGACGTGAGGACTACATGCGTTGTATAACACACTTTTCATGTTCTATGAACACGGAAGTGTTCTCTAGTGGCTATCTAGTAGACAGCCACTAGAGGAGGACTTCACCCTGCAAGGTAATTATTGCAGTTTATGAAAACTGCAATAATTACACTTGCAGGGTTAAGGGCAGTGGGCACCCAGAGTTGGCACACAGACCACTCCAATGGGCTGCTCCAGTATATGTGTAAATGACTAGAGAGGCACATGATATCCAGCTGTGATGACCACTGCGCATGCACACCCAGTGCAATATAGAGGATGCCAGGTGGCTGCCTCTCAAAGCAATTGTTCAACATTAAAATAATAATTTAAGGGGCGGAGCCTAACCATCTCACTTTACTCCGATCACAAAGCTGAATAAAAGCCTGGTTTTGGAGGATTGAACCCATCCAAACCCTGCACAAGCACCGGAATACCTAAGGTGCATATCACAGAGGCAATCTATGCCGTTCATACATGCCACCAAATGACAGACTCCGAAATGACAGAAGCGGAGGTCCAGGCCTACAGACCACCCACAGGCCTAGATCTGTCTGTACTGTTCAACAGCTTTGATCCCTTTGAGTACTCTGAAACAGAGGCTTTCCCAATTGCGCATCTACCTGCTCGGCCACCGACCATGGGGCAATGGACACAAAAGCTGACCCATGAGCCACACTCCAAAATGGCAGAGACGGCGGGACTCATGGCCGTGCAG